AAAAGAATGCAGGCTTGTCTTCTCCTCTCATATGGGGGACAGCCGCTGATGTTTTTTTTTTTTTTTTTTTTTTTTTTTTTCTTTGAAGTATGCCATCATCTTCTCTAAGTTCTCTCAGTATTGTACCTCACACTACCTACCCCAGACAAGCAAGGGATCAGGACCCATCCACACACCGAGGGGTTCTAGGGTCTAAGACTAGAGTCTAAGGCACAGGGTCTAAGGCTAGAGCCTATCTATGCACACAAGCTGGGTGGCCCTAACAGTTATGGGTTGGCACCGACCTCCTCCCGTCTCTAGGCACCGCAGCTTCCTGCTAACCCCAGGCAATGGATGGGGGAGGGGAAGGTAAACCCTACCAAGCCCTACCAGGGGGGGGGGGCAAGCCGACTAACTCAGCTGGTGAACCAGTAGCGAGCCACAGGAGATCTCTAACTGTTTGCTTCGTTTTTTTTTTGTTTTTTTTTCCCGCTATTTTTTTTTTTTGGGGGGGGGGCAATTGCTTTGCACTTTTTTGCAGTTTTGTCATTTTCCACAGAGAGAAGACCACAAAGGAAAATGCGACCCTGACTATCGACATACAGTCCCATGCTTAAGTTTAAGCAAAGAAGACGGGCCAGTGAAATGCCGCCAACATCAGAAAGGAAAAACTCGAACGAGTACAGCAATATGATCATATCATGAAAAGAGGAGAAAAGAAATCTGAGAGGCGGTAGTGAGCGATTCCTGGCATAAAAGGAAATAGAGAAGATGCCCAGCATAAGAGGAAATAGAGAAGGAAAAAACGAAAACGAGCTCGTTGAGGAAGTACATGTTATTACCAAAAGAGTGACAGCATGATTGAAAAGTAGCCACATGGATGTGCAATGTAATGCGTATCGGGTACTATTGGACGAATCGAAGGCAAGTCAAGGAGGCTGAGAAGGGTACAATAGATCACGTGCATAGCAGCCAGAGTATATGGAGAAAGATAGATCTAAGACTTGGATCTCACCTCATAGTATAGCACCACATTCAGAGTATGCATAAGCAGCAGCCCAATCTTCTCTCTCTCTCTCTCTCTCACACACACACACACACACACACACACACACACACACACACACACACACACACACACACACACGTGTGTGTGACTGAAACACCCTGTTTACTGTGTAATGACCCGCCAAAACACAGACTGAGAACACTGCTGATTTCTGGGATTTGCCGCTGGAATGAATGCCTTGCTGAGATTCCCGCATTCTGCTGTGGTTTCCAAGTCTGTGTGAGTGTGCGTGCCTGCTGGGTTGAGTGCCTGTCTGAGTGTTTGTGTGTGTGACCCTCAAGGGTACTTGTTCGTTGAAAGGCCCCGCAGGGCCGGTACTTACCTGTGGCTGTGACTTTGAGGGTTGCAGCGGGGAAACCACTCAAGTAGCGGGGGTAGGCCTGCGACACTTAGAGCAGAGGGAAAAACACTCAAGTAGCAGGTAGGCCGGTACCACTCAAGTAGTGGTAGAAGTGTCGGGTACTGGAGGCCGAGCAGAAGAAGACAAAAAGTTGGCATTTTTAGAGGCCCAGTGGCGGTAGGTTAGAGGTAGTACGGTACCAGTCCAAGTAGCCCGAGTCTAGGGCCTGTCCAGACGATAGCAGAGCCTGCAATGATGTTTCCCTCCGAAAGGGAGGAGGTACCGGTTGCTGGGAGGCCGCTCGGCCTAGGAAGTCACCGCCCAAGAGGCCAGTAGGTCGCTATATCTTCCGGAGGAGCAAGCAGCTCCTCCTCATTTGCAGTATGCAAGGATTGGCGACATGCAGCACTGCCTGGAGGTGACGAGCAGCTGGGCGCTCAGCCTGGCTATGGCGAGCAGCCCAGCCTGAGGAGGAGGAAGAAGGGGGCGAAGGAGGAGAGTGGCGGGGTACCTACCTGGCTATGGTGGACACCATCTTCATCACCTTGTTGGGCGCTGCATCTGGAAGGCCCCAGTTGGGGTAGTGCCACACCAAGGAAGCCCGAGGCAGAGTCAGGCATGGCGACTTAGTCAGCAGCGGCATAGCTGCTTTGGGTTGTCCTTTAGACAGGAGTGCAGCGACATAGCTGCTCTGCGTTGTCCTTTGCACAGGAGGGCAGAGCCCTCAGTAGTCCGCCATAGCCTAGGCATGTGAGAGGTGGAAGAAGGGGGGAAGCCATAGCTATGGTGGATCTATTGTGATGTCAGCAGTAAGAGGGAACTTTGGTTATTGATTCTGGTTCATCCACTCATTGTTATTACTATTATTGGAAGAAGAATAAGATTGGCGAAGTGGAGGAGGAAGGAAGAGAGAGAAGGAGGATTTGTCATTGGTCTTGCTGGTGTACATCTTCTTCTTCGTCTTTCTCTCTTCTTTGGTCTCTATCTCTTTGCAAGCGCTTTCATTTCTTTCGCAATTGGGTGGCACTGTCTTTCATTGTGAATTTGCACTTTGGGAATGACCAGGATCGTAACAGTTGGTATCAGAGCGGACTTAATTGCTGGCGAGAGGTGTTAGTCACCCTAAACATAATTCCGAATTAGGTTAGGGCTAACTTTATCTCGGATTAGTGTTGGAAGTTAGGGTTAAGAGGGGCAGTGAGGTATGTGGATGCTGCGCCCACCTGGTTAGGTCATGTAGGGTCAACATCAGACCTGACCAGGTTGCTTGTGTGATTGAATGGGGTAGCAAGACACAAAAGAGGCTGATTGGAGTAAGCGAGAGGGAGTAGAGAGTGAGAGGTACTTGCACCTGGAATCTGCACTTCAAGAAGACATTGAGTGACTTTTGAGCTTCCCCTCAAGAGGGAGACTTGATCGGAGGCTGCCATATCTGCATCGAAGAGCTGCAAGTTGCTACTTTGGTCTTCATACATCGACGGAGGATCCGGCGTTGTGACAAGGGTGTAAGGAGGCCCTCTTAGTCATGCTAGGACACTTCGGGTAGTGGTAGATAGGGGTCAGGAGGACCTATGAGAGAGGGGGGTGAGTCGTTATCCATCTTTGGAGGCCGGGCCTCACAGGTAAGTGCCGGGTGACCTGGGTATGCCCGTGGGAGGTTGCTTGGTGCTTCATGGCCTGTTGGGGTGTGCTGGGCTCTCTTCCTCTTCTCTGCGGTCTTGGTTGTGAGCATGTGGATTCCTTTCTCACCTGATGGATGGATGGATGATGTATCTTGTTCTCAATGACATATCTTTCTACGGTGCATTGTCTTTTCACTTTTGAACGGCTGTACGGGTAAGTTCTTGCTGAAAGTTGTCTTTTCCTTTTCAGTACGGCAGAGGCAGTTTGGGACTGACTTGGTACACCTATCTCGTTGGTCCTGGTCCACGACCTACTTGGGACCCTTCGGGACTCAGTGGGACCAGGCCCAATGGGACAGAACCTTTAGGACCCAAATCTGTTGCCGTCAATGCATCTCTTTGCTGTGCTGAATTTGGAGGACACACGGCGTAAGGACATTCCTTTCAAGGGGATCTTGACTGGTCTTACTGCATGTTCTCACATACTGCCCCGCGTCTGGCTCGGCGACCGTTTGCACCCATCGAAATCTCCATTGCTGCAGTTACTTTTCTTTGGCTGACTTTTTGTGGTACATGTTCCTTGTCAGATTAGACAAGAGGGGATCTCCAGCTAATCTGATCGGGCCCATTCGTTAAGTCAGCCCTCTCTTTCATTTGTTTTATTTATTTATTTATTTTATTCTACTGTGTGAATGTCATTCTCGAAGTCCAAATGAATTGCCGCTCCGGCTAGGAGTTCTACCTTCTGCTCTTTGTGATTTATTTGTTTTTCTTTTATCT